TTTACCCCATGTGTATATATAAACGGAAGAATCCACGTATATATAAATTTACTATATATATATAAGTTCATCTCTTTAATGTGATCTTGTGTGGTTATGTTTTACTCAAGGGATTCATTAATGTTGACTTGAGAGAGTGTGTGAGTGTGTGTGTGAGTGTGTGTGTGAGTGTGTGTGTGAGTGTGTGTGTGAGTGTGTGTGTGTGAGTGTATGTGTGTAATTGACCTTAAAAAGAAAGAGAATAGGATAATGAGGAAGAAAAGAATAAAAAAAAAATATGATTAAAAAATGGTTGTGATAATCGAATGGTGAATGAATGAACATCAGGTGGAGATAGAAGAGTGATGAAAGAAGGTAGGACTACATGAATGCCAAAATGAATGAAAAGGAAAGAAAAAACACCACCAAATGAAAGACAGAGACAAAGCTAATAAGATGGTATGAAGAAGAAGAAGAAGAAGGAAGTTGAGAATGAAAATGAAAGAAATGTGAAGGAAATAAATCAAGGAACAGAGAAAAGAAAATAGAGAGAAAGGATAAAGATCAAGTTGTCAAAGGAAACCATATGAAGTGAAGAAGAGGAGGAGGAGTAGGAGAAGGAGGAGGAGGAGGAGGAGGAGGTATGATTGCCTGTAAACTAACCCAAGAATAAAACAGCTTCAAAATGTGGATAGCGTTACCTTATGAGGGAAGAAGGAAGAAACACAATGTAAAGAACGGGAACAGATGAGGCAGAGAGCAATAAGTTTGATAAATAAGAACCAAAGAATGAAACAGAAAAATAATAAATAAAATATACACTTGAAATGAAAATAAAAAAATGAGAACTATGATTTACTGAGGTGGTGTACACAACTAGTAAAAACAATAAGAGAGGGGAGAAAAAGACCAAGAGAGAGATATAGAAAGAAAGAAGGAATGAATAAAACTCAGAATAAGCCCATAACATCCATTTGTTTATGTGGATGGGAGTACTGTTGGTGGGTGGCGCTTGGTTAGGTTAGGTTAGGTTAGGTTAGGTTTGGTTAGGTTAGGTTAGGTTAGGTTTGGCTAGGTTAGGTTAGGTTAGATTAGGTAAAGTAGATTCCAATATTGAGACCTTGTTATGAAAATGAATCACCATAACAACACGTATAAGAGAGAAGTATATGTCTGACTGTGTGTGATGGGAAATATACACGAAAAGGTAGAATATAGTTGAGTATATATTTCCCCCTTGTATAATTTCCCTGGAGAAACAATATATATTCACTTGAGTATATATTTCCCCCTTGTATAATTTCCCTGGAGAAACAATATATATTCACTGAGAGTAGAGTATATGTCTTTCCCCTCACTCACATTGCTTCCCATTCTCATCTCTCCTGACACTCCCTAGCTTCACCCCTCACCTGCACCTCACCTGCACCTCACCTCCACCTCACCTGCACCTCACCTCCACCTCTCACTCACCCCATGAGAAACTTCAAACCTTTTGTCTGCAGCTGGGTTAAGTAAACAAACTGTGCATGATCTGTTTGCTCAAAGTATATATGCGAACACACATACACAGACACACACACACACACACAGATACACACACACACACAAAGATACATACACACACACATACATGCATACACTCACACACATACACACACTCACATACAAACAAACAAACAAACAAGCAAACAAACACATGCCAATTTCCTTGATCCAATACTTGAATTAAACATAACGTCAACAGTCGCTATGTTTTTAGGGTTAATATTGACAGAAGCGACGATAGTGTAGGGTGAGTCGTGTTTCTCCCGGGCACGGCTTGCTGACCTGCCAGATAGCCCCCAGTCCTAACAGGCCCCAGTACTAACAGACCCCATTGATAATAGACCCCAGTACTAACAGATCCCATTACTAACAGGACCCATTACCAACAGGCCCCGGTCCTAATAGACCCCAGTCCTAACAGGCCCCAATGCCCACAGGCCCCAGTCCTAATAGTCCCCAGTCCCTAACAGGCCCCAGTACTAACAGGCCCCAGTCCTAATAGACCCCAGTCCTAACAGACCCCAACCTCACCAAAATAGACCCCAGTCCTAACAGACCCCAACTTCATCAAAATAGACCCCAGTACTAACAGATCCCATTACTAACAGGACCCATGCCAACAGGCCCCGGTCCTAATAGACCCCAGTCCTAACAGGCCCCACATCTTAGGACCTAAAATGTAAAATGTGCCTATTTCACCGAAAACCTGCAAGGTGACTTTATTGTAACTGTGTGTGTGTGTGTGTGTGTGTGTGTGCGGGTTTTTCCTACAGGCTGTGTGTGTGTGTGGACGGCTTGTGTACATGTGCGTTGATTAGTATTCTGTGTGAGTGTGTAAGTGTGTGAGTGTGACAGACAGATAGACAGATGAGTCAACAGTTCAGTAAACATTATCCACCTCTCGATATTGAACTGCTCTTGATGGAGGTGTCAATTCACCCCCAGTGTTTACCTCCTCTCTACAGCGCTATAACCTTTGACCTCTGACCTCTGAACCCTAAAAGTTGAGGACCTTGAGGGGTCATTGTGGTGAGTATATAAGAACATCGAAAAATAATATCCACTGTTTAATATCTAACCATTTAAAAATCTGGGCATTTTTTCGACCACTCTACTCCCGGAATCCATTAACTTGACCTACTACGACACTACGAAGGCCACTACAAGGGGGGGGCCACTGTGTTGGAGAGCCTGCGTCAGGAGGTGAACCTACAGGGTGAAGGTGTGGAGACAATTACATCGTCAGACTGTGATTACATTTCCCTTGTTGACACCACTGTAGATTAAAATGTCTTTGTTGTCATTGTAACTAAAACAAAAACAATATCACCACTGTCATAAAAATCTTCATCGTGGTGACAATAGTATAAAACTGTATGTATATCATAGTCAAGACGCTAGAAATTATTTTTACCTTCACTGAGTTGAAATATAAAAACCTTTCGTTGCCCTTCTGAAAGTTTGCTGAGGGCCAAGGGAGGGATATTCCACACTGCGGCGAGGCGAGTGAAAAGCCTACGGTCTGAAGCGACTATCCAGACCTGTCCTCCAGCTAGGTAGAGTAAAAACTGCTGTAGGATCAAACACGGGGTGATGGTGGGTTGGGGGAGGGAGGGAGGAGGAGGGAGTGAATGTGGAAGGGGAGGGAGGAGAGAGGGTGGGTGGGAGGGGAGGGAGGGAGAGGGAGGGAAGGAGGGGCAGGAAGGGAGAGTGGAGAGAAAAGGAGAAGAGGAGGGAACGAAGGAAGGCCCGTTGCTGGCCCCTCTGTCTCTCAGTCATCACGGTAGTGGATCCCAAGGGCTTTCGACGGCCAAGTTGGGTAAAGACAAGATAATACCCGGAGATCCAAACGTTCACACGACAGGAATTCTCCCCAATATATGGATGTTAGATTGGTAGGCAGGTGGGTGGGTGGACGGTAGGTGGGTGAGTGTGTGGTTGGGTGAGTAGGTGGATGATGGGTTGGTCGGTAGGTTCGGGTAGGCAGGTGGGTAGGTGGACGGTAGGTGAGTGAGTGTGTGGTTGGGTGAGTAGGTGGATGATGGGTTGGTCGGTAGGTTCGGATAGGCAGGTGGATAGGTGCAGGACGGAATCAATCTTTGCACCAGGCGAATCCTTCCCTCTAAAATTGGCTGTTTTATCGGAATCAAAGTCGACACTGAGGTAACAAAACGTATACCTATATCATACAATGTTACCTAGGTATCATGAACCTTCAAGCTGTAATATATAACTTTGTGTCTCTTGTAGCATTCTGTAGATGGTACTATTATATATGTTAAGTTCAGTATTACATAAACTGTAGATGTGCAGTGGGCGAGTGGCTATAGAGCTCACCTCTGTCATACTTGGTTCGTACTCAGGTCATCTCAATCAGCCACAGCTGTAGATGGGTTGCTGCTAACTTTACTAGTTGGGGAAGTGGTGGCCATACTATACACTGCTCACCACACACGGTCCCCCTGTGTGCCGAGGCAGTACCAAATTCAGTGTGTTGTATCTCACCCTGTCTCCTAACGGGTTTGTCAGTCAGGCATGTGGACCTGCAGCTGAGTGTGAGTAACAACAACAACAACAACAATAATATCAACAAATACGGAGATACAAACTTCAATGCATTTTCACATATAATATTACCTACAGTCTTGACATGTAAAGTAATGAGCAAATATTTAAACCAGACTTAGCAGCCTCGTCTCACACTACCCTATCTCTCTCGGGTAAACCTTTCATGTTGACTGGCAAAGCTTCTTGAGCTGGAGAGAAGAAGCTTATCTGTGGAGTAAGATATCTGCAAAAGTTGTCATGTGGTGTTTGCGGGGCTGCACACATGTCAGTGGGTGGGGTGGGGTGGGGTGGGAGTAGAGGTGGTGGGGAATTGGGGTAGATTTATGGGGGAGGTAGGATAGTATTCAAAGTCAGGGGAGGAGAGAGAGAGAGAGAGAGAGAGATAGGGAATGAGATATAGAGATAAACAGAGAGGTTTGTGTGTGTGTTAGAATACTGTCAATGATGCGGGTGAAGACGAAAAAGAGGAAGAGGAGGAGAGGAAAGAGGATAAAAAACAGGAACCTGCGAAATGAGGTAGGAGGAGGAAGAGGAGGAGGAGGAGGAGGAGGTGGTGGAGGAACAGGAAGAGGAGGAAGCCGAAGGAGGAAACAGAAGGAGGGGGCAGAAGGAAGACCCTCATCACTGTTCTTCCCAATTCCTTCAGTCTCTCGTTTTCTTTCCTACCTCTCCTCTGCATGGACTGATATTATTTCAAGGTTAGTGCTAGAGCCAATCAGGACAGCCATTGATCAGAACAGGAGCCTATCAGAACAACTACCTATTAAGACTAGGATTCATTAGGACAGAAGGCTCTCTGACCATCGGCTATTCTCTCTCCCTCTTGACTAGCAGTTCAACTTTATCGAGCTGTTTCACTCCCCTGTTCATCATCATTAAACGCTCACTCGCCCTCTCACGGCCAATTAGCCCTGCTGTGGTTGGCTGAAGGCGACGACCTGCTGTGGTTGGCTGAAGGCGACGACCTGCTGTGGTTGGCTGAAGGCGACGACCTGCTGTGGTTGGCTGAAGGCGACGACCTGCTGTGGTTGGCGGCGACGACCTGCTGTGGTTGGCTGAAAGGCGACGACCTGCTGTGGTTGGCTGAAGGCGACGACTTGCTGTGGTTGGCTGGGCGACGACCTGCTGTGGTTGGCTGAAGAGACGACCTGCTGTGGTTGGCTGAAGGCGACGACCTGCTGTGGTTGGCTGAAGGAGACGACCTGCTGTGGTTGGCTGAAGGGAAGGACCTGCTGTGATTGGCTGAAGGAGACGATCTGCTGTGGTTGGCTGAATGCGACGCCCTGCTGTGGTTGGCTAAAGGCGACGACCTGCTGTGGTTGGCTGAAGGCGACGACCTGCTGTGGTTGCTCATTGCTCTGGTGGTATAACTACATATGATTGTAAGGCTGAGTCGTTGATATTACTGCTTAACTCTGTATCTCTACCTGATTCACTGTATAACTGAATCACTTACTCACTGAAACCACCGTACCACTGACTCCCTGAATCACCACACCATTATCTCATCATCACCATCTTTCATTTCCTGTTACGACTATTAAAGACGCTGCTACACTCATGAACGTGGTTGGACTTTAATGTAAATTATCTCAAGGAGGAAGATCAAAGCAACTTGAAAGAGAAAGCCAGGAAGAGACAATCACAGGCAAGACGAGAGACAGAGAGAGAGACGGTAAGGGATTAAAGCAGTTTCCTTTAGTCCCCAATGATTATATTTAGCCAAAGAGACTCTACCACCAGGGGCTCCTCCGTCCTGCACACGATCACAGGACAAACACACGAAGGTTGATTGGAATTTCTTGCTCATTATGTTGGTTCTTTTTGACAACATCTAATTAGAATAAATCAATACACGTTATTGGTTGGTTATATTGATTTTATATTGTATAAGGTGAGTTACTCGGCTACACACACACACACACACATAGACACACACACACACACACACACACACACACACACACACACACACACACACACACACACACACACACACACACACACACACACACACACACACACACACACACACACACACACACTACATTAAACAATACATTGATTTTTTTCTTAATTATTTAGTTGAAAGAAGATTATAAGATTCAACTTAGAAAAAAATAGTAATTACATGTTAAAGTTATTGTTAATTCGTTGGTTTAAAATGACTATTATTCTGTTGGTGTTATTTTCTTCTTATTTAGATTAAGAAGATAACACGATCCCGACACGAGGAAAGTAAACATAATCTTAAATGGATCTTGGATTAGAATATTATCATTAAAAGATAAAGATACGGCTGATTTTGTTTCTTAAAAAGCTGAATGAATATTTTCTCTGCTTCCCAAGTTGCACCAGTGACCATTTAACCCCCTTCCCACACTCACTCTCCTTCCCTCCCTCCTTTTCTCCTTCCTACCTTTCCTCCCTCTCACTTCCTCCACCTCTTCTCCCTTGCTCCCTCTCTAACCCCCATCTTGAATCTTTCCTCCTTCCACCCCCTCTTCCTTCCCCTACTCCCTCCCTCCCTGCCTCCCTCTCCCCCTCTCTCCCTCACACCCTACCTCCCTCCCTACCTCCCTACCTCCTTACCTCACCACAAAGACACTCTCCCAACACCCTTTACAGCCCTCGTAATTGAATAGAAATATAATCATGATCCCTGAATAAGCTATACGCATTCACTACTGTTATTTTCTCTCCATATTTATTTGTATGTGTCCTCGTCTTTGATAACACTCAGCGACTCGTTCATGGTAGGAGGTGGTGGTGGCCATTTAGAGTTCTCGTTCCTACTTTAATCTAACCGCCGGGGGTGGGGGGAAGGAGCCATTGTTGTGTGCTAAGCGAGAAACACAAGCGGGTTATCATCACCACCTTGCACTACTCCCCGACGCCAGATAAGGCACGGGTTCGGGGAGGCTTTATGTGCCTGTGTGTTCTGTTTTGTTTTAACTTTCGTATGCTGAGAGGCTGTATGGCTCTATGTATGAGAGAAGGTGGTATCCTTTCTAGTTCTTAGATGCTGTGTGGAAGTGATTGTTTGTTTTAAAGTATAAATAAGCATCAAGAACTTAGCCAGCTGTATTGTACTCGTTCTCTCTCTCTCTCTCTCTCTCTCTCTCTCTCTCTCTCTCTCTTGTCGATATTGTTTCTCTGCATCCTCTCTGCCAAGGCTGAAACGAACTATATACTGACAATTTACGATGTTGTTTTCTATCTTCCTGTCCTGAGAAAGTTTCTTATTTTGCTTTCTTTTTTGTAGTTTCTTTTTTTACTTTAAAAAAAAATTATTTGACTTTCTATTTCCGTTTTTTCCTTGTCCTTTTTCTTTTTGCTTTCTCTTCTCTGGGATTTTTTATTTGTTCTTTTTTCTTTCTCTGGTATAGCCTTTTTGCTTTCACTTTTGCCTTCTCTATCTCCTTTTATCCTCTTTTCTGTTCGCTTTCTCTTCGCTTTCGTACCAATATTCATAGTCAGGTTTGTATATGCGTAACAATCACTCACCAGGATCGAAAAACAATATTCACACTTTCTAACCTCAATTTTCTTTTCCTTTCTTACACACACAAATACTTTCTTTTTTTTCTCTTTTCTTGGGTTTTGTTTCGTCTGTTTTGTTTTCGTAGAGATGCTGAGCTCGTCAATATTTCTTCTCTGTTCTGTGCTGCCACCGGGTGAGAGGAACCGGAAGTAAGTACTCGACATTTACAGCGCCATTTCCTTCCGTCTCTCTCTCTCTCCTCTCACGAATTCTTGTCATTAAAGTCTTCTTCCTTCTTTTAGTGTACTGTATCTTATCCCCTGCCGCGAAAGACAAAGTTCCCGGGGGATATACAGTACAGTACCTGCTGATGATGTCTGTCAATCCGTAGCCAAAATATTCGGCTTCCGTTCGATCTATTTCCATAATTTTTTTGGGATGATTTTGGTATCCGGAACGTATTTATGATATGGTCTTGCTAGAGTTTGATAGTTACCCGTGAGTTACTCGTGAGTTACCCGTGAGTAACCCTCTCAGTTACCCGTGAGTTACCCGTGAGTTACCTCTGAGTTACCAGTGAATTTCCTTTGTGTTTTAGCCCTGAGTTACATGACAAGACAACACAAGACAACACAACACAACACAACACAACACAACACAACACAACACAACACAACGCTTCGTGTGTTAGTGAATTATGTTCATTTCCTCAACATAAAAGAAGAACAATTTAATTCATGGCTCCAAATCACGACAATTACTTCATTATATAATACTTATTTTTTATCAATTTTCTCTATCATCTTTAAAACAAATATTCTTTCATTACATATCATTACACTTTTCTACATTACTTCGTTCCTTTAATAATTCTCCTTATTTTCTTTCTTTCTTTCTTTCTTTCTTTCTTTCTTTCTTTCTTTCTTTCTTTCTTTCTTTCTTTCTTTAAAAAAACATCACATTCTATTTATTTTTTCCCATGATTATCTTTTGTTGCTGTTAAAAAAAAAATCCGTGGACAATAAAATAAATTTCCTTTCCTAATAAAACTTTCATTTTTTCACTGCTGCTGCTTTCATAAATAATCATAATTACTGTATTACATTGTCAATGAAAGTAGTTGTTAGATGTAATTCAATAGACTTTTCTTTAAACTTACTCTTAATTTTACCTTAGTTGTTGTGGTATAAAGTAGTTGTTAGATGTAATTCAATAGACTTTTCTTTAAACTTACTCTTAATTTTACCTTAGTTGTTGTGGTATAAGCGACCACCACCTCGTCAACACTACCGCTGGGGTAAACAATTGATGGGAAGATTTTGTTTTATGATTATACACCTCAGAGCTCATTTACAAGATTTAGATATATAAACCTCAAGAATCATTTACAATTCTTATGATTTTTTTTACCACAAGAGAATTTATTTACAATATTTTTATACACTTATGCTCACTACCTTGTCATAGTTGATCCTATGGTTAAGTTTGAGGGAGGAGAAGGATGGCGGGTGGGAGAGGAAGAGGGAAGGAGGGAGGGGAAGGAAGATGGAAGGCAGGAGGAGGAGGAAGAAGAGGGAAGGGGGGAAGGGATGAGTGAAGAGAGTAAGTAAATAACGTGAAGAAAGCAGGGAGGTGAGGGAGGGAGGCAGAAAGGAAGTGAGGGGAGGTGAAGGTCATATATTTACACTGTGAAGGTCGCCTCACCCACACACCGTGAAGGTCGCCTCAACACACCCTGAAGGTCGCCTCACCCACACACCCTGAAGGTCGCCTCACCCCACACCTGAAGGTCGCCTCACCCCACACCCTGAGAGTCGCCCTCACCCACACACACACACCCTGAAGGTCGCCTCCACCCCACACACACCCTGAAGGTCCGCCTCACCCCACACACCCTGAGTCGCCTCACCCCACACACCCTGAGTCCGCCCCCTCCCACCCCACACACCCCTGAAGGTCGCCTCCTCCCCACACCCTGAAGGTCACCCTCCACCCCACACACCCTGAAGGTCGCCTCACCCCACCCCCGCCTCACCCACCCCTGAGTCGCCTCACCCCACACACCCCTGAAGGTCGCCTCACCCACACACACCTAGTCCCCTCACCCCACACCTGAAGGTCTTCCTCCCACCCACACACCCTGAAGGTCGCCTCCCACCCACCACACACCCTGAAGGTCGCCTCACCCCACACACCCTGAAGGTCGCCTCACCCACACACCCTGAAGGTCGCCTCACCCACACACCCTGAAGGTCGCCTCACCCACACACCCTGAAGGTCGCCTCACCCACACACCCTGAAGGTCGCCTCACCCACCCTCATGTTAACTCACATATGATTCCTCGTCTCCATCTACCTATAGAGACTGTTGTCCCTATAGCCTTTAAATTGATATTATCGTAGGTCCCTCGCTCATAGGACACCTTTATTCCTTGAACTAATGTCATCACCTTTATCTCCCACACACACGCCCTTACATTACCCACTTGTTTTGTTTTCTCACCCCTCGTAAGCCGGGTTGTTATTATACTCTTTTAAAATAAGTAAACATAGTTCCTTCTCCTGCATATTCCATTTTCTTCCTTCTTTCTCTCCTTCCCTTCTAAAAGAAAACCATTAGCCTGGTGCTGATAGACTACCAGTGACGCACTCCACCTATAAGGGACTTAAACCTGCCACGTAAAGATGTCAAAAGGATTTATCATTTCTTAAATCTTCAAAGGCTCCCTCGTGAATTTTTTTCCTCTAATTGGAGGTGTTCAGTCCCCTTCACCTGTGTGGCATTTACAGGGGCTCCTCAGGTTTGGTGCAGTGTGGTAGCGCTGTGTTTGTTTACATTCGACAGAAGGAAACTCGCAATAGTAAACATAATGTGGAATCAAATTAAAACAATATTAAAACAGATATTTCATAGATAATGATTTGTGGAATGTTTATATAACGAGCCCCTGTAAACACACTAGTGAAGGGGAATGTACCTGCAACTGGCCCGCTTATACACGAGATTAACCGTTTTAAAATGAATTCCAAACAGCTCTGAGACTCCTCCACCACACCTGAACGTGCTCACTCATTCCCAATTACGAGAATAAAGAAATAGTGCAGGAATCTTTAGGACTGTGGCGCCTAGAGGATAGAAACAATTCACATAGGTGTTTCTTTTAGCCTGTCCATCACTAACGCTAACCTAACTTAACCTAACGCTAACCTAACCTAACTTAACCTAACGCTAACCTAACCTAACCTGTTAATGTTATCTTTATAAAATGTTTCTTCTTTCTGTGACTTTCTTTTACGTTCTCCACACACACACACACACACACACACACACACACACACACACACACACACAGAGCCTTACTTCAGCTTAGCCCACCCAATCTCCTCATTGTTGTTGTTGTTCATGTAATTGATGTTGTTGTTGTTGTTACATAAACTTAACGACAGCGGAACCAATCTCAATCTTCACCAATTAGAAAGTAATGGAGAAGTATGGGACGTTGTTGCTGCTATGTGGAGAGAGAGAGAGAGAGAGAGAGAGAGAGAGAGAGGCATTGGAGGTTGGGAAGGAGGAGGTCATCCCTAGAGGCTATAGGTCAGAGACTTCACACACCTGCTGCCACTCCTTCAGGTGATCCTTAAGGAGTTTCACCGCCCTACAATAACACAGTTCCTCCGCTCATACGTCTCCCATGTAGGTTAGGTTAAGTTTGGTTAGCGTTAAGTCAAGTTAATTTAGGCTAGATTAGGTTAGGTTTGGTTAGCGTTAAGTCAAGTCAATTTAGGTTAGATTAGATTAACCTGGTTATACGTCCTACACAACTGACCTCCTACACACCTGACCTACACACCTGAACTCCTTCCACAACTAACCTACACACCTGACCTTCTACACATCTGATCTACGTACCTGGTCTCCTACACACCTGACCCCCTACACACTTGGATTCCCACACACTTCACCTACACACATGTCCTCCTACACACCTGACCTTCCAACACAAACCAACACACCTGACTTCCTATACCTCCTACAACCCTGACCTCCTACACACACCTGACCTCCTAGGATGCGCTATAATGAGGGGTCGGGTCTTCGGCGCGGACGACTAAACAGAATCAATGACGGTACAACCTTGCCTCTCTCTTTCTCTCTCTCTCTCTCTCTCTCTCTCTCTCTCTCTCTCTCTCTCTCTCTGGCCAGGTAAGAAGGAATACGGGTGATAATGCCTTGGTAATGAGCCGTTGAGAGACGCTACACCACTTGCCACTCAGGACATGAGAGATGGTGGTAGTGGAGGATGGGAGATGAGGTGGGAGGGTACTGAAGGAGAGAGATATGGGAGAGAAGGTGGATACAATGGACGGAGGGAGGGAGAGAGAGAGAAGGAAAGAGAGGAAATGGAGGAAGAGGAATTTAGGAAGAGGGAAAGAAAGACAGATGGAGGGAGATAAAGAAAGATGGAGTTAGGCAGAAAAACAAGGAAGGAATGAAGGAAGGACAAAGCAAGAGAGAGGAAATATACAAACATGAAATAAACTCGAATAAAGAATAACTCATCCGAAAAATTAAAAAAAAAATTAACCCCAAAAATATGGACCATGATTCTCACTCCCAAGACTACGAGGTAAAAAAAAAAAAACTTTCATATTATCCAGACAGATTAAGAGTTCCCAAATATCGAAATATCCAGGGCATGAATTTTGTTTTTTATCACAAGTTCTGATTATCTTCAACTTCCTCTGCTGTTAAGATGACGGACGCCTTGGAAGCAGGGTTTCTAAAAATGTATTTCATTAGATTATGCTAATTTGTTAGTATATATTTTTCACCGAGAGAGTGTGTATACTTTCAAATATGTCTTTTACCGTTATACAAATTTCCTTAAAGGTCTCATCTAAGTGAGCTCTACGTTAGGTAATTCTTGATAATTTCTAATGAATCTTTGTATGATAATTTTTAATAATTCTTATATGAGGGTTATGTTAACTCTTGAATTATCGTTTAGCTCACCTCAATAATTCTATAAATAGCTTCGTGATGACTCCTGAATACACTCTAAATAATTACATCTATTTCTGTATTCCTGGATAGACTATTACAGTATACCTGAAGAGTTGAAGGTGTGTTACTGTATCCCGTCTACACTGTAATGGAGTACAATAAGGGAACACACTTACTTTATAAATAATCGCCCCAGGAAATGTGTCAGTGGAACCCCTCCCCCTCCTACTTCCTTCCCCTCCCCCATCCTCCCTCCCCCTCCCCCGCATCCCCCTCCCTCCATCCCCCCCTCCCTCCCTCCTTCCCCTCCTTTCCCCAGCCTTCCTCCTCCCCTCCCCCACATCCCCTCCTCCACCCCCCCCCTCCCCTCTTTCCCCACCTTTCCCCATCCTCCCTCACCTCCCCCTCCTCCTTCCCTCCCTCCCTCCCAAACCCGGGGTGCAGGGTTCATGTACGTTCACACCCACATATACACACACAGTACGTACACACACGTTGATACACACCCACATGCACACACGCATATATACAGTATATGCGCATACACACGCACGTTGATAAACAAGTATACTCTATACGTATTTGAGTCATTAAGAGCACTCACGCACACACACACCCACACGCACGCACACACACATACATACATACATACATACATACATACATACATACATACATACATACATACATACATACACACACAGACACATAAATTATTTTATTCACAATATCAACGTAAATGAACTCTAGTATTCATATAGTTAGTACGTAATATTACACAACTTTTACGACAGACTGTAATAGAAATATATCTAATAAAAAAATAATGTATTCATTGTAACAGAAATATGTCAATTATAGCAGTAATATATCCGTTATAACAGAATATATCCGTTTTAACAGAATAAATCCGTTAAAACAGAATATATCCGTAGTAACAATTTCCGTTATAACAGAATATATATCCGTTATAACAGAATATATATCCGTTAAAAACAAAGACAGAGAAAAGTACATTGGACACATAGAGGGAAGCAGCCACTCCTAGACGTATATATTGTTGTCAGGTAGGCGTTGAGCCACACCCACCTTATACACTATTCATGATAAGACCCATACAAAGTGTTTCCCTCGTTGGATATGCGGCTTTGAGACGTCCCCGAGGTGCTCGTCTATATGACACCTGTAATCCAATAATCCAATTCCATAGCATATTTATTTACTACTACTACTACTACTACTACTACTACTACTAGTCTATACTACTACTACTACTACTACTACTACTACTACTACTAGTCTATACTACTACTACTACTACTATACTACTACTTTTTTCTCTTTTTTTTTTAACGTTTCCTCCAGCCTCCCCCAATAGCCACACCTTCGCCTCCATTTTATTACCTTAAAATTAAATATCCTAATACATAAGTAGCTATCCTAGTTGTGTTGAATTAGTTGAGCTGCAGATCTATGCGGCATTCAGTGACTGTAGCCTCATAGTCAATATCTGCAACTGTTGTCGGCTTTGGGGCCGAAGCTCTAGTTCCCCTGAGGCAGAGAAAAGCCGACCGAAGGAGAGAGAAGGACAGTCGACATTTCATCCAGGCTGTAACATAACTTCTGGGCTGCTGCTTTTGTTCGGAGATCACCTCCTATGGAACGGTCTACCAGCCCAAACTATGGAATCAAGAACAGACCTGGGCTTCAAAATAACCATTGACAAAAATTATCAAAAACAATTGGGGATCCTACACAGACCACTGGCATCCTTCCCTCGGTATGACCACCTCTAGTGAGTGGCCTTTAGGTAACTCAGATAAGGTCAAGATATCCTTCTAAGTCTCTGCCTTCCCCTGACTCTCACCCATAATTTTATTCATGGATATCTCTACCATTATCCCTTCATTCTGTGTTATTTGACGGAAGAATTTAATTTTCCATAAGTATCCAGATTCCAGTAATCCTCTTATTGTTCTGACTGATCTCTGTTCTTGTCTCTTCACCTCTTCAAGTTCTCTCCTTTAATCTTTTTCCTCTTTCCTCCCCCGTCATCACGTCTTCCCGGTTTTCCTTTTACCTCTCTAACTTACCCTGAGTATCGGGTTTATCTCTGCAGTAACTTATCTTGTTAGTAATAGTTCGGTTCACTTCCTTATGACGGCACAACATGTTTTCTGATATGCAATTTGTACGTTAAAATCGCACACACACACTACTACTACTGTTTTGTTGTCACTCATAATCGAGTATGATAATCATCCAGCTATGACACAATGATATGACTTATTAGGGATGTCACCTTTGTTGGTGAGATCTGAGGTGACTGGAGAGGCTGATATGAGACCGGCAGGGTCGTCCACAGATGTTGTGCGTGTGGGGGGCTACATCTACTGTAGTGTGGGAAGGGCGGCAGCAGCGTCTTTCCTGCACGTTACGGTGTGGAGTGATCGTCTCCCAGGTGAGGGGTTCGATTTGGCACTTTTTCAGGTTTGTCTTAAGACTATCCTTATAGTATACCTTTTCCGTTGTCCGCCAACGTTAAGTTTACCATTTGTAAGGTGTTCATGGATAATGGTAACCTCGATGCTCCTACAGTTGGTGTCAGGAAGAATACTGGCAATTGTTCTCTTGTCTTCCAGCGAACTCGGAGGATGGAACGTAGACTACGTTGGTAAAAGTTTTCAAGTGCCTTGAGTTGCCTCCTGTATGTGACCCATGTCTCGCTGCCATACAGCAGAGTGGGGAGGACCACTGATCGAAATATGTGCGTGTGTGTGTGTGTGTGTTTGCGTATGTGGGGCGAGACCTTTCCTGTGGGGTATATAGTGCAACACTTCTGTATGCTTAGTAGTTTAGAAGTTTACCAGAAACAGACTTGTTCCCATAAAGACAAACAGTTTTATAGGCATCTGAGGCGGATCTAGGAATGCGGAAGGAAGTGGGGAAGATCTAGTGCACGGAAGCAGTGATTTATGTCAGGTAAACAGGAGGGGCTGGGAGGACCTAAAAGAATATGTTTTACTTCCACGTGTCAGATCTTTTGTACCTTCTGCTTTTATTGTAATACTGTACAGGGTGTTCCACAATTAGCACACCAAAGAAAAATTAATGTTCTATTTTTGTTTGTTGTTTTCTGTTTTCAGGCGAGGAAATCATAACAAATCAATTTAGATGCCAGAAAACGAAGATTCACTATAGTTCTTTTAGATCAAGGGTAATTAGTAAAACAAACACACATTAAGTCACTGTGTCGCTTGTCTCGTTCTGGTCAGTTTCCTATAGAAAGTACCTCCTGGATCTCGTCACTAGAGACAGGAAAACAACTCTCCTCAATGTCTGCGTGTGTGATGGTACGTATAAATGTGAACAAGATAAGCAATACGACTTTACTGTACATAACAATTAAACATATGGTACTATAAGTATTGATGTATAACTTATATCTGAGATCAAAATAGAAAAAAATATATATATAAGTTAAACATAATGCTGTAAACTGGTGTAGATTCGGAATGTGAAGAATATTAATGGGTGGGAGGTTCCATTGCAAGGGGGGTTTGATCGCAAGGGGGGTTTGATCATAAAGGGGGTTCGATTATAAAGGGGTTCGACTATAAGAGGGCTCGATCATGAGGTGTTTCGATAATAAAGGCCTCGATTATAAGGTGTCCGATCGTAAAAGGAGGTTCGATTATAAAGGGGTTCGACTATAAGAGAGTTCGATCATAAAGGGGTTCGATTATAAGGTGTTTAGATAATAAGGGGGATTCGATTATAAAGGGGAGTTCCAATACACCTTGCCCCCATCTTCCTATATACCTGAGCTCCCTCCCTCCCCCTTAGGATATAAACAATATAATATAATCAAAGGCAAAAGTTTTTATTTATATTAGTCGCTTCCACAAAACATTACTACCTCCACATCAAGCTGCCCTTCCTCTTTCTAAGCATCTTAAGTCTTGAAACACAACAAACCCAAGACAGAGACATAAATCACATCATACTATTACTTCAATTTCAACAGCAAATATTTACGGATCACAATAATGAGTGTTCACGTGTTCAGAGGAAGAGGGACGTGTTTATACTCTGTGAATATATCCATGCCGACAGAATTTCACGTCTTCTAGTAACTCACACACAGTAAATCCACTCTAGTCTGCCCTCTTGTTCTCTCTGTCTATCCCTCCACGACAATAAACTCCACGACTCTGACAGGTCCATGCGTCTCGGTCCTAATATTTATTCTCCTACACTTGGTGCTGAAGAGGGGGTCGACAGACATGGAGGATGGAGGCGTGCAAATATGTTGTAGTGATGCGCTTTTGTTCAGAGTGGTGCGTTTCTGTTTTGTTACGTCGTGTCTATACTTCTGATGTTGTTTTTATGCGATTTATTATTATTATTATTATTATTATTATTATTATTCTCGAGGGTTGCTGAACTGATCGCTGTCTTTATTGGTAAATATGGTGCGTGGACCGGGACAGTACACACACACACACACACACACTCAGACAAACATACAACCACACACACACACACACACACACACACACTACTGACTCACCTACATATGCATGGGCGCACACAAACACACATATTCACTCGACCGCAGGTATAAATTGGGTTCCACATACTTACTAAACCGTATCCAAACTGCTCGTGAATCCATGAGTAAAAGATCATATCACGCTTAACACTGTTGAGGTTATCACTAGTGGTTAACGAACTCCTTCACCGTGACAGAATCTAGAGAGAACTTACTGAACCATAAAATCATCCTGACATTAATAAGAGAAAACACAGATTATCGACCTCTTTTGACCTCTTGTTGTGATATAGTGACTAAGTTTGGTTAAAATTTGTTGTCATTGGTCCGAGTTACCGTATTGACAACATTCGGATGATAGGATGGACGCATGGATGAAGAAAATCACTATCCACATTCTTACCTCCCTTAACCAAGACCTGCAGGAGTCAAAACTGATACAGTGTCCCCTAAGAAATGCCTTAACTCGTTTTCTGTCATGCCTTTGTGAACGATAATAGAATCGAGAAAATTATTCACTATACTGCTCGTAAACCAAGAGAAAAATACAGGAAAGGGGGAAATGGATTGGACATATCCTCTGGACGACCGGAATGCTGGGATAAAAATGGTATTAGAATGGGGTGACTAAATTGACATAGGAGAAGAGGAGTCATGATAATCGATTAGATGATGAATGGTAAAGACGGCAGAGTGCACAGGATTTCAGGAGGAGATGGGGATTAGAACAGAAATGTTGGGGATTCGAACAGAAAAGTTTGGGATTCGAATAGAAATGTTGGGGATTCGAACAGAAAAGTTGAGGATTCGAACAGAAAAGTTTGGGATTCGAATAGAAAAGTTGGGGATTCGAACAGAAAAGTTGAGGATTCGAACAGAAAAGTTTGGGATTCGAACAGAAAAGTTGAGGATTCGAACAGAAAAGTTTGGGATTCGAACAGAAAAGTTGGGGATTCGAACAGAAAAGTTGGGGATTCGAACAGGGAAGCTTTAGACCTAAACAAAAGAGAACTGGCAGTCTGAATGGAAAATAAGTCAAGATTAAACGGAATAAATGTGGATTTGAATAAAAAATATACATAGTATATTTGAATAGTAAAATGTTGAGGATTCCCATACAATAAAGCATAAGATTCAAACAGAAACAGATTAAGTTTGACTAGGTTAGGTTAGGTTAATTTAAATATTAATAAGCTGGGGGATTACCTTCATATAATCCAAAATAACTGTGTCTAATTTCCTTTTTCATTACCTAAACCTGATTAAAATTTATTAATATATCGCTAATTTTTTTGTGTATATTTTTGTTCTCGTTATATTTTTTTACAATCAAGTTATCTGAATTTTTCATATCATTTAAAAGCAAAACTCAATTATTTTTGTTATGTTGCAGTTACTCGGAAACATTTAATTTATTTCTCTATTGAATTGTTTGTTGATTTTTATTGGGTTTATTTATTTTTTTTTATTTTTTTAATACCCAGTGAAATATATTTTAGTTTAATATAACAGTTACAGTTCCAGATTGGTTAGGTTAGGTTAAGTTAGGTTAGGTTAGGTTAGGTTAGGTTAGGTTAGGTTAGGTTAGGTTAGGTTAGGTTAGGTTAGGTTAGGTTAGGTTAATAATAATAAAATATCATCCCAAAAAATAGGGGTTTTTTTTACGGCGTGACATTAAAACTTACTATTACCATCGTGTATGTGATTACTTAACTCCCGTACTGAGCTATATACTGTAGTTACTGTACTATGACGTGAGTGATATACTGTAGGCTGTAGCGGAAGAGAAGCCAATACCGGGTCACTATGAGTCACTTCTATTCCCACCGTCGCCTCTCACAATCCCCTCCCACCCCCCTCACATCTGATCCTCCCCTCCCACCCCCCTCACATCTGATCCTCCTCTCCCGTCCATCACACATCTTTACCTCATCTCCCTTCTCCCTAAACGCCTCTCATCTTTCCCTTCCCTTTCCACACACTTCTCCCCCTCCCTTCCGAGCCCCTTTCCTCTCCCCTACCTCTTCGACTCTCACCCTTTCATCCCCCTTCCCTCAATTCCTCTCCCCCTCCCCTCTCCCCACTCCTCCTAACCTCTCCTCCTCCCCCACGCATCTCTCGCTCCTCCATCACACCTGCTCACAACAGATGCGGGCTGACCCAGAAACCTCACCTGTCTAATATTACCTGTTACAAAAATATTACCTTAATTAGTGTTCCCATAATCCTTTAAAACCTTTGCTGATAACGATCTTTAACTCAAATTATATGAATTAAGTGAAATGCGATAACGAAATGACTCGTCTATTAGTTCCGTGAGTCAATCAGGGTAGAAACAGACAAGCCATACTGGTGGGTGAGATGAGTAGAGTAGCCCAGGGCGGTGTCGAGTTAGTTACGGTGTGACTCGTGTAATAGAAGCACCTTTAGGTTATCGTCGTAGCCTCCTCCTCCTCCTCTCCCTCTACAGTACTTCACCACAGAGTTATTCCACCTGGCTTCCTGTGTGCTGTTATGACGAAGATACAGGAAGAGAGATGAAGAATGTTTATGATCGTTAAGCATTAGTGTTAGTCGGTGGTCGGTGGTGACGGAGGCGTGAGTGAACAGGACAAGCTTAGTGGATATGTAAAATATTAATTCGTGTAATTTACCCGACAAAATTGAAGCTTTATCGGGAATATTTTAAGCTGAACACCAGAGAGCAGCTACAAGAACAGTTAATATTACGTAGAAATTTATGTGGATAATATAGAAGATATATAAACTATCAAACCGTTTTTAAAACAACTCAGCTCCAAGGTTCAATGTCAAGATGAAACTTTTGCCGTAATAATAAGAAAAAGACTACTTCCAGAACATGCAATAGTGTTCCAGTGTCTTACTAATGACTTCCTGTGTTCTTGGAGAGAAAAAAAAAAGTCCCCTTGTGCTTCGTCCCTTCTACCACCACCCCTACCCTACCTCCCATCACCCCCAGCCCACCCCCTTATACCTCAACCCCTCCCCCACACTTCCCCACACCACCCCCCATAAAATTCATATCTTCCGAGATTATGTGTAATGACCTTCGTGGAACAATGTACAATCTGCAGATAAAATCACGTACTGGTGAGCTGAAGTGGCAGAAGGCAGTAATTACATGGAGAAACTTCCCCCTCTCTTATACATGGAAACAGACTTCCTACACATGACTGCCTTGCCTGCTTGCCTGTCTGTCTGCTTGCCCGCCTTTCCTGCTTGTCTGCTTGCCTGCCTCCCTGACACGGAAAGAAGATGATAATGACAATATCGTGAGGAGGTATATTCGTGGCAGTGTATTGTGATTTACGTGACATTTCGGTTCGTGACAGACGCTGTATCCCGTCATGACTCACTAACCTTATTGCAACACCGACAACGACAGAAAATTATATGAACTGGAACCGTGTAATGAACTCAGTAATAAGAGGGACGACTGAGGTGAATATTGAGGTCACAGACAATATATGACTGAAAAAAAATATATAAAAATTTTTTTGGTTCATGTCTAGTGTTGGTGATTATCATATGACAATTAAGAGTGTGGCAGTGGTAATATATAGTCTTTAATGACCTAATTGTAAAGGACTGACTGTAACCGTGTTATTAACCACTGTAAAGTCACAATTAACAACCCCTCTTTTTTCATGAATTACTATTTTGTAGTTCAGGTTACAACCATTACAACCTGGGATATAATAACACTACCACAACTACCACTACTACAACTACTACCAATCCCTTACCCACCACTATCACCACATCTGCTGACCCAAGATAGTCTACTTATTTTAGATACAAATTTATCTCCAAATCCTTAAATATCAAAGAAACGCCTCTTATATTATTCTCAACCTCGCATATTCATTAAGGCAACATAATCATGAATATCACCACCACCACCACCACTAGCACCACCACCATGGCTACTAACACCACCTTCGCCCCTAACACCACCACCACCAACCTCTCCTCCATGATCACCGAGAATCGCATTTCGTCGCCTCAGGAGGAAACGCGATATAACACCTTGAAAATAGAGATACGACCTTTGGACCCCTTCGAGCACTGGTCTGAAGGAGGCGATGTAGAGGACTGGGAGGTCGTCGGCTACTCCATTGTGATTCCTGCTATCTGTGGTATCGGGATTATCGCCAACGCCCTCAGTCTGGTCGTCCTCCTGAAGGGCGCTGACCGTCTGAAGGAGTCGCTGTATATATATCTAAAAGGCAAGATGTTTACACTTTTATCTCCCCCTCTTGAGTACGTAAACAACATCCCCAGAGTACAGTGAAATAGGTCAGTAAGATATCTTTATACCCCCTCAGTACGGTAGCTTAACCACAAGAGTACCAAGAGTATACTCATGGAGTTAAGTAATCGTACTCAAGGAGAAAAATTTTCATATTTTGGGGTCAAGTTATGATACTCAGAGGGTTAACTCATCGTATTTAAGGGTGAAGTGTGTGTGGAGGAGGTGTGATGAAGTGTGTGAAGTGTGTGGAAGAGTGTGATGAAGTATAATGAAGTATGTGGACAATACACCTAACCTTTGTCTCTCTCTCTCTCTCTCTCTCTCTCTCTCTCTCTCTCTCTCTCTCTCTCTCTCTCTCTCTCTCTCTCTCTCTTTATATATCTGTCTTTCTGTCTATCCTTCTGTTTTTTTTCTCCGTCTCTCTATCTACTACCTGTCTATCTATAACTCTATCTATCTAGTGTCCAGGTAATTTTGACCGCAACTGTACACAACAAACGGATAATTTACCTTTAATATAACAAAAGAAAGAACCTTAGTGGCATTAAGACTGAACAGGTGTGTGGTCTTAACAAGGGGAAGTTACCATAAGACCATTGGAAGTGGTGTGAGGGTAAGGTGACAACGGATGAGGGAAGGGAATGGAAAAATATAAGGGGAGAGAATGAGGAAGAAAAGGGGAGACTCAACACCCGTCTGTCTGTCTGTCTGTTTGTTTGTTTCTATGTCTGCGTCTGTCTGTCTGTGTGTCTGTCTGTTTCTATGTCTGTGTGTGTGTCTGTTTGTCTGTCTGTCTCTCTGTCTGTCTCTCTGTCTGTCTGTGTTTTGATGTCTGGGAGAATTAGTAGTGGTGTCTGGGAGGGCTAGGGGGGGGGGGGGGCAGACAAAGGAGATGAGGGGGCCAGGATACCGGAACTTAACGACTGCGGCAGGGAATTAGTTGTGCTGATTGGATACTGTCAAGAAAGTCTGGAACTATGGTGATAATGGTGATGGTGATGGTAGTGGTGATGATGATGATGATGATGATGATGATGATGATATTAGCTAGATTTCTTTTTTTTTTGGGGGGGGGAGGAATGTTTATTGTTATATTCCTAATACAATAACTAGATTGTATGCACTAGCGAAGAAAGTTACAGGGGTTAGGTTAGGTTAGGTTAGGTTAGGTTAGGTTAGGATAATATGGATGACATTCATTCTATATTACACAGATTAATAATAATAAACCCTGCTGTATACAGTTAGTTGGTACACCCAGTCGTGTTGTGTGTACTGTACACTCTCCCCGGACACTGGACGCCTCTCTCTGAGCGCCCTGATGGATAACACTGTCAAGTGGGGGGAATTAAACTGGTGTCTCATGTACTGTTAATGCCGGGAGGCGACTCTTGGGAGGAAGACCGAGGCGAGCGAGAAGTCTGAAGCAATGTACTGTACCTCCTGTTCCTCTTCCTCCGCCTCCTCTTCCTGTTCCTGCTCCTCCTACTTCTGTTCTTCCTCCTCCTCCTCCTCTTCCTACTCCTCTTCCTTTTCCTCCTCTTCCTACTCCTCTTCCTTTTCCTCCTCCTCCTACTCCTCTTCCTTTTCCTCCTCCTCCTACTCCTCTTCCTTTTCCTCCCCCTCTTCTTCCTCTTCTTCCTCCTCCTCCTCCTCCTCCTCTTAACCTGGAAACTAATGCTCCATTGTGTATTTCTTCTTCTCCTTCATCTATGTCTATATCCTTTTTAACTAGTAATTAACGCTTCTTTGTTCTCTTTGCTACACACACTTTTATTGATCCTCTCCTTTGTCCGTGTCTCTATACCTACACACCTCTTATCTTGCAGCACAGTTCTTTGTCTCTCTCTCGGTAATTAGCTAGACACTGTTGACTCGGTGTAAATTTATATGTTCTTCATTTGGTTGTTTGATCGTGTGTACCCTTTTGGAGGTCACGTCTATCTTCTCTGTTTATCTACACACACACACACACACACACACACACCTTTATAATCGACATGCTAACCCCAATGCACCTCTAGGTTGCTTTTCCTACCTCTTCACCCCCTCTCTCCCTCCCTACCTCTCTCCTTCCCTCTCTACCTCCCTAATGATACCTCTCTTGATCCCCCCCCCCTTATTCCTTCCCTAATGACCTCACCCTTAATCCCTCTCCCTCTCTCCCTCACAAGCACCACCAAATCCCTCGAGGCTCACAGTAGGCACACAAGCAAGCACGACTGATACAGCTTAGAGAATTCCCAGAAATTCTTGCTTTGATTTTTGTTTTTTGTCTTTGTAATTAAATATACTCACCTAATTGGTTCTTTTAAGCTACGTCACATAGATGGAGTCTCACAGGTTCGTAAGTTGAAATTTCCTCGTAAATGGAGATACGATGATATACCAAATTGGTTCACTTAAGCTACGATACAAAGATGGATTCTCAAAAATTCGTAAATTGGATTTTTTTTTCTCTTCATGTAGATGGAGATGTTAAAAGGTACTTAACCATCTAGAGCACAAAGATAAGGTATACAAAATGGCGTAATAATGACACTGAGACTATACCCTAACTAGATACGATGACTCAGCTTCAGTTTATGGCTCAATATCAACCTGAAGAGTCTTTGAGGCGCCAGAACTAACTACGACCAGCAGCCTTGACCTCCTCACCTGATGGCCCTCACTGTAGGAAACTTAACCAGCATTTTTTATCGCTTTATCGCTTTTATCTTTTTTTTATGAACCAAGAAGAGAGAGAGAGAGAGAAAATGTTTAGCTAATGCGTCATCCAAAGTGGGTAAGGAGGATAGGAGGAAGAAGAAGGAGGAGGAGGAGGAGGAGGAGGAGGAGGAGGAGGAGGAAGAAGACGATGAAGAAAGAGCAGGAAGACGAAGAAAGAAGAAGTATTACGAAGAAAACCCTCCTTGATGGGTCGTCGTCAACGCTCGCTGCATACACTGAGAACCTCTTGAGGGTGGAAATGTGCTCACCTGATGCGTTTGCTCATTAGTAGAAATATCAACTTTTGTTTTTTTCATTCATTTAGGATAGCGAGATATCCTATAGGAGGAGGTGGTGTTGCATTGGAGGAGGGGGGGGGGAAGTTTGTGGGTTAGGTTAGGGGAGGTGGGGGGGGAGGGGAGAGCCTATTCAATCACATTCTTAAAGTCAAGGGAAAGGGGGAGGGAAAGCAACCTCATCCTCACCTCCGTTTTCCATCTCTACAGCAAAGGGGAAGGGGGGTAGATATAACCTCCCTCCCCCTTCTCCCCCTTACAATAATAGGGAGGAGGTTAAAGACAGAAGGGAGTAAAGAGGAAACGACAGCTTGGGGGTCGTTACAATATCACGTCGTCCCAGATTGTATATAAAAGCGATAACATCTAGAAATTTTTGTTGTGTTGTGAGAGATGCCATTCTTTATGACCAATGGATTCCAGATATCTTTGTTTGTTTTTCTTTTCACTTCGTTCGTTCTGCCTAATTACCTTAACAAAACACTTTATTTATGTTTTGACTTTATTAATTTGTTTTTTATTATTATTGTTGGGATTTATTATTATTATCATTATTATTATTATTATTTTATTTTTATTTATTTGTTATTTTTATTATTATTATTATTATTATTATTATTATTATTATTATTATTTTGTTAATACCTCGCAGAAAATATTAACATATTTATTCACAAAAAAGATATTAACCTAACCTAACCTAACCTTACAATGAACAATATAACATTCAACATATTAATGTCCCTTTAGTATGATGAAAATTAATTATATTCCTGTAAAAAAATAAAAATAAATATATATATGATGCTTCCCAGTGAGAGTGAACAGGTAATATAATAATACTCGTTAATTACTGAGAGTGAGTGTAAACCTGTGACATTATTATACCTGGAGTGGTATTATAACATTATGCTCTCTTGTGTTTTATTAATTATCAACTTTTTTTATTTTATCGTTTATATCTTCATTTTTTTTAGTTTAAGGTTTGATAGGATTAAATAGTGATGATTTTATCCAATATCCATCCATCTATCTACTTATGTACCTGCTTACCTGCTTGCCTACCTACCTACCTGCTTGCCTGCCTGTCTGTCTGTCTGTCAAAAATGTCTTAACACACTTCCTCTTGCTCGAGTCGACGAATGTTTATTGACTTGTGCCACTACCCCTTCCTGCCACTACCCCTTCCTGCCACTACCCCTTCCTGCCACTTCACCCCTTCCCCACTTCACTCATCCTTCCCAATGCTCCCTTCCCTGCCACTGGTCCCTCTCACACACCCCCCTTCCTACCACTACCCCCTTCCCAACACTACCCCCCTTCCTGCCACCATTCCCCTTCCTGCCACTTCACTCCCCCTCTCCTGCCACTACCCCTTCCCTGCCACTAATACCCCCTTCCTCACACTACTCCCTCTTCCCTGCCACTCATTCTCTTCCTGCCACTACCCCTTCCTGCCACTATTCCCTTCCTTGTCACTACCCCTTCCTCCCTGCCACTACTTCCCTTCACTACCCCTTCCAGCCACTACCCCCTACTACACGTTTCACTCTCGCCATTACCTACTGCCCTTAGACAGGTGTTATCCCAATACTCAGAAAACTCAACGCTTAAGGGAAGGAACTTAAAAGCCTAAGTTTGTATATTTGAGGACTAGATAATGGTGGTGGCAGGATGGTGATGGTGTGGTGTGATAATGGTGGTGGTGGGGTGATGATGAGATGGTGGGGGTGGGGGGGATGGTGGTGATGGTGATGGTGATGGTGGGGGATGGTGATGCAGGTAGTGGTGATGGTGGTGGTGGGTGGGGGGATGGTGATGGTGGTGGTAGTGGTGGTGGGTGAGCTGAATAAGGTTGTCTCAGTAAAATGTATAACACCAAACTCTTGATTAACCAAATTTTTATGGAGATCGTGAGGATAATTGTGAGGTCTCCTACACGTGTGCTGTGTGGTGTGGTGTGGTGTGG